TAGCTTAAAACTAAAAGCTAGTATTTTCCTTTATTAATAAAACTCGGGGTGTTACAGTTAAACAGACTGGGAGACACATCAAGCACACGATTGCGAAGAAAAAGCTTGTGAAAACGGGGACTATTAGGATCAAACACAGCAGGGGTGAGATTCGCATAAAATTCTTTGACACCACAGAAGGGTTGAAGATCAGACACAGTTTTAGACAAACCCACAGACTCAATTAAACGAAGAATGCCAAGATCAGCAAACTTACCATCTTCCACAGCACGTTCGGACCAGAAACCATAGGAACCAAAAGAAACAAAGCGCTCATGGGCCGCCTCAGTATAGAACCGATTAGTGAAGGTGTTCTCAAGATCATAAGCATCGTCCTCAGGTTCTGGAGGAACAGGCGGTGCATCAATTGATTCTTTGCCCCGCCGACGAGTTGAGCGACGAACAGGCATCTTGGACGGTGGCGAGGGCTGATCAGAATGAACATCAACGAGAGTTGCAGCTGTGTCTTCTTTGTCTTCTTCGCCTGCTTTGGTTGCGGTCTTTAACGTCGTCTTGGTAGCAGATTTGCTCGCCGAAGTTGGAACAACAGACGACTCCCCCTGAGTTGGAGCCGCTGGAGTCTCAACAAGCCCTGACAGACCAGGTACACTGGTGGCGAGAGGAGAGATCTCAAGATTTTTATTGGCAGTCTCTGAGTTGGACGGAGAACCAGACGAGGTTGCAGAGATAGAAACCGACTTCTCAGGAGGAGGCGACTCAGGCGATGGGGATTTAGCCGGCGGAGGAGATGGTTCACGGGCAGAACTTGTAGAGAGGGATAGGCGACGCCGCTTCAGCCGCTTTTCCTTGTGCTTCTTAAGACGTTTCTTCGACTTGTCCTTGCTACCAGCCATGGGAGAAGGAACGGCGATTGAGTATGGGAGAGGTAGGGTTTCAGAAGGTTTGAAAAAGAGAATGAGAGAGGAAGATAAGTTCAGACGAAAAAGATATGATTGAAATTGAGAAGCGTGAGAGATATAAAGAGTTCTGACATAGATAACTGCAAAAGGTGGTTTTCCGACATTCAAGGTGAGGAGAGAGAAAGAGACGTTGCAACTTGGGGCGGTTTATGGCAAGAAACTGATCCCTCCAAATCCAGATTCAAACACAATACAACCTCTCACATAAATAACTTCTCACATTATTTCGATTTTTAGGAAAGAAATCAGATTTCATACTTGAGCACACATACTTCACAAAATTTTAGACTCAAATAGATTATATTCAAAAAGGAAATCTTATGCAAGAATGCCTAAAAAATGAGAATTAAAAGTAAGGTAATAAAATCGCACACAAGGTTCACCAGATTCTAAAAATCTTTTCCTTCTCAACTGAGACAAAATCGATGAAAATAGCCCAAGACCAACTTTGATATTCAGATTTCCCAAGGAACACACGATAAGCGGATATATGTATATACACAAGGTAGTGCGAACCACAGCTTCATATATTCAAGAACACATGCCTTATTATTCATAGTGCGTTTCACTTAGTAACAATCACTGCA